GCAAATTAAGGAGAAAACATAAAGATTTTTATTGTAGCATTGTTGCATATTGTAGCATATTGGAATCAAACTGCCAAGGTAAGAGTTGACAGCCAGTACACCGAAAATATCAGAATACAGAGAGGAGTCCGCCAGGGTTTGCGTGCTGTCCCCACTACTTTTCAATGTCTACAGTGAAGCGGTATTTCAAGAAGCGCTCTCAGACTCAATAGAAGGTATATCTATCAATGGAGAAGTTTTGAATAACTTACGTTTTGCAGACGATACAGTAATAATTACGGATAACAACAATGATTTACAGAAACCTAATGCAACGCCTTAATGAACGCTGTCATGAGTACGGACTGAAGATAAATTTAAAGAAAACTAAATGCATGATCATGACTAAATCTGCACATGCAAATATCCAATTGGACTATTGAAGATACTGCAATTGAGATGTTAATAACTATAAATATTTAGGAACATGGATAACATCAGATGTAGACCAAACCAAAGAAATTAAGACACGTACTGAAATAGCACGTACATCATTTATTAAACTTAAAAAAGTTTCTTTGTTGTCGGGATATAAGGTTAGAACTACGCCTGGAGAATGCTTCGATGTTACGTGATTCTCTACTCTTCTTTATGGTCTGGAAGCTTGGACACTAAAACAAGTTCATCTGAATAAGTGGCCGCCTTTGAATTTTGGTGTTACAGAAGAATCCTACGAATATCATGGATTCAAAAGAATGTCAAACATGGAAGTAACTAGAAGGATAGGAAATGAGGCGGAAAATAATATTAACTATTAAAAGACGAAAACTTGTGTACATGGGACATGTGATGAGAGGGCAAAATACGCATTATTACAACTTATTATGCAGGGCAAAATCCGAGGAAAGCGAAAATGTGGGAAGACGAAGAATATCCTGGCTTAAGAATTTAAGGGAAATGGTTTGAATGCAGTAGTGCAGAACTTTTTAGAGCGGCAGTCAACAGAGTCCGCATAGCCATGATGATTTCCAACCTTCGATAGAAGATGGAAACTTAAAGAAGAAGAATTGTAGCATTATTTTGATACTATTAAAAATTAACTTGAATTCAACTATATTTAATTGTATTAATTTTAAAGCAAATAAAATTGTATTTTAATTTTTCTATAAAGACATGATTTGTTAATAGTTAAACTCTCGTTTTTTTTTAATTCTTTCTGAACGTGTTTTTATACATTATTACTACTTCCAATTTTTAAAATCTGAATAATTACCCCGCGAGTAAAAATTCAAGCACGTTTATGCTCATTGCGGAAGCATCACATTCTATCGAAGCTTCAAAAACATTGTGTGTTAAAGGTATCTTATTTGCTGTGTCCATCTATGTTTATACGTCCATGGTTCATACAAAATCATTTTGTTTTCATAAATTATAATTTTTCATTCAAAATATATATTCACATTTGCATGTTGCTTTTAGTAATGAAGCAACATTTCAAATTATGGATGATAATGCCTAAATTGTCCGAAGATTTCCAGGGGAAAATATGAGAATGCAGATGTAAACAATTAAATATCCCACTCTCAGTAATGATTTGGTGTTTAATTAGTGGACTATATGACAGGACCAGTATAATGGATTCTTGCAGACAAGATTGATTTCACAAATGAACGAATGATTTGTAATGGTAGCAAGGTAATTATGAAGGATGGAGCACATTGCCATACAGCTTAAAAGCACTAAAAGTTTTTTGATAAGGAACAAATTCTTCCATTACCATGGCCTGGAACTCACCAGACATGAAACCCATAGAAAATGTCAGAGAGTTCCTATAAAAGACCTTTGTCAAAAAATTAATAACATAGTTCAGTTAACAGAATTTTTCATTGGAATCATAATGACCAATTGAAATAAATAGCAGCAAGATACATAAATAGCGTGCTTAGGTGTGTGCCGGCAATTCTTAGAGCCAATGATGACTTAACAAAATATTATTGTAGTAAATTTATGTCATAATTATTTTTTTTTGTTCAATAAATTATACAAACAGGTTACTATAATCATTTATGTAATTATCTTGTATATAAAAAGGTAGATGTTCTATTTTTGATATAAGTTGTTGGGTTGTTTTTTTTTATATTTTCTTATTTTTTATGTTTTTTTATATATTATCACAGTGCTGTCTGTTCTTAATAAATAATTTTAATAAATTAACACACATTTCCAGAATATACCCTTGAATAAATATAAATAACTTTTAAATACACAATACATCACATGTAATTTCAACAAACAATTTACACAATACCTACATTCCTAGTTTAGTTGTTAGTATGTTTTTCCCTCAAGAACTTTCCCTTTATTTGTTAAACTATCTATCTATCTATCTAATTAGCCTTCTTCGGTCCATCTTTGGACATAGGCCTCTCCAATCCTTTTCCATTCTTCTCTGTCTGTCGCTACAGTCATCCATCTAGAGCCCACGTGCTTCTTGATATCATCTGCCCATCTCATTTGGGGCCTTCCTCTGCTTCGTTTATATTCCCACGGTCTCCAACTATAAGAATTTTGTTCCATCGGTCTTCTTTTTGTCTTATATTGTGTCCTGCAAATCTCCATTTCAATTTTGCAACTTCTTGTCTAACATCCCTCACTTTTGTTTTCTCTCTTATCCACTCGTTTCTCTTCTTATCCATTAGTCTTATGTGCAACATTTGTCTTTCCATTGCTCTTTGGGTTTTTATGATTTTGTCCTTGTTTGCTTTTGTAGATGTCCACGTTTGGGAACCATAAGTAAGAACAGGGAGTACGCATTGATTATATACTTTGGTCTTAAGATGCTGTGGATATCTTTTGTTTTAAGAATGTAGCTTAGTTTGCCAAATGCCGCCCATACCAGTCTAACTCGTCTTTTGATCTCTGCTGTTTGGTTCTCTTCGTTAAGTTTTATAGTTTGACCAAGATATATATAATCCTTACCTTGTTCTATTTCATCTTGTCCGATTCTCATTGTGATGTCTTCATCTGTATTTGTTATAGTTTTGGTCTTGCTGTAATTCTATTAAGGCCTATCTTTCCAGCTTCTACGTCCAGTTCTTTCATCATTTCAAATAATTCTTCTTTTTTTATCGGTTATCAATACGATGTCATCAGCGTACCTTAGATGGTTCAAGCGTTGTCCACAAATTTTATACCTTTTTTTTCCCATTCTAATTTTTTAAAAGTATCTTCAAGAGCCTGATTGAAAGTTTCGGTGATATTGTATCACCCTGTCTCACGCCTCTACTTATTTGTAATGATTTTGTTCCTTCATATACTTTAATTGTTGTTTTGGCTTCCTTATATACAGAGTGCGGCAAAAGTCAGTTCCCGCTATGTAGTTTCGCATAACAGGTGTTCCCTACTGTTTGTAGGTTAACCTTGAGTTTCGTTCATCTGCCTTTCGCGTGTTGCTGTTCGTTGTGAGTGTCGGTGGGGTTTTGCGGTGCGTTGTTAGTAACGAGTTAAACATGCAGGCGGGCGGCAAGTACACGAAAGAAGAACACGTTTTTTTTACTAACTTCGTATCTGCGATTGTCATCAGACTATGGGACTATTTTTTCCTAATTTCAGGAACGTTTTCCGAATCGTCCAGTACCATCGCTTCGTAATGTCACTACACTGTACCGTAAGTTTTTAACGACGGGTTCCGTTGCAGACGCGCCGCTGTTGTCATCTCGGGGGAACAATTAAGGGTCTAAACACCTTCTGTAACCTCCGTGTGCTCTGTAGAGGGCTTCGGAAACGTCGTGAGCTCCTCTACTCAAGTCCACTTTCGGTGTATGGACTTGTAAAAGTTTTTCCTCTGATGGCTCGTCTTGATAAAGACGAGGTATTTTCTTGCATGACAATACGTCGAAAATAAGACATCAGGTCGTCTTCTTTAGTGACTTGCCTTGAAAAGGCAAGATATTTTTTACATGACAATTTTCTAGGTCGTCGAAATAAAACACCAAATATTCTTCGCCATATTTCTTCGAAGACACGGTAATTTTGCATTTTTATTTTCCGATATTTTTCGATTGTGCAAATCGGGGAACTGACTTTTGCCGCACTCTGTATATTGGTTATTAGTTCCGTATATCTGTGGTCAATTCGGCTGTTAATCAAAGAACTTTTCACTACCCAATTTTCGACACTGTCGAAAGCCTTTTCGAAATCTATAAACTTATATATAGAGGAATGTGGTATTGACTTGCTCGTTCTATAAGTATTTTCATACTTAGTAAAATGGTCACTTGTGCTGAATCCCTTTCTTAAAACCAGCTTGTTCTTTCGACTGGTATCCATCGAATTTTGTCGTCAATCTATTGGTTAAAATTTTTGTTAGGAGTTTATACATTACATTGAGGAGTGTTATAGCACGGTAGTTTTTTTATATCTGCTTCATCCCCTTTCTTGTGTAGGATAATGGTTACTGATTCCTTCCAGTTGTTTGGGATTCTTTTTTCTTTTAATATCTTGTTAAAAAGGGAATGTAGAGTATTAATTACCACTTTTCCACCATATTTCAGCATCTCTGCAGTTATTCCATCTTTCCAGGCGATTTGTTGTTTTTCATTTCTTTCAATGCCTTCTTTATTTCTGATTTGCTTATTTCGGGCTGCAGCTCTGAGTTGACATTTTTTATTTTGACCTTAGTTGGTTTTTAATTTCTTCTATGGTTCCTTTTTTGTTTTATATAATTCTGAGTAGAAATGATGGATTATATTTATGATGTCATCTTTAACGTTTGTTATTTGTTAAACAGTTGCAATAAAACCGATGATCACCCGTCACCAGTTTACCATAAACAGTTTTTTAACTATGTTTTCTCAAACATTAAATAATAATTCTTGTATCGGCATGCAAGTAATATTTATTAGTTATTTATATTTATTAAATTTAAATTTTACTAGATTTCAAGATTTTAATTAATTAAGAATTGATAAATATTAGTGAATGGGAAGATAAATTAAAAAAACAATAAAAGCCTTACTTACCCCACTCCTGCTCCTGTCCCACACTCCGTTACACCACCAGTGCCGGGAAAAAAGTTACCATCGTCGTGTCGGTGCATGGATATGACTAGGACTCTGGGATCATCGTAAAATATTTCTTGGGTACCGTTACCGTGGTGTACGTCCCAGTCGAATATGAGTATCTTGTGAACACGGTGCTCCCGTTGAAGAATTCTTGCAGCTATCGCTATCTACAAACATATGTTTAGGTTAAATATAAATAAAATAAATTTTTGTACGTTTTTATTTATATTCTTACAATGATATAAATTTAATGAGTAAATATAACGAATTGGTCAACAGTAGTCTGCTGTCTCCAAGATACATTCCCATGTTTTGAGACCTAGTTTTTTAAGATCTGAATACAAAACTGAATGAGTTTATGAGTTCAACATCCCTATGAATCGATTTATCAATCAAAACTTATGAATTATTTTTAGAAATGAGATTACCTCCAAGCATGGAATCATTTTCAAAATAATGCCTTTGATCATTTTCGGTGTAAGACTTGTGTTGAATATCTTCAACTTGTAAGTAAATAGGGTTCGTTTTGTTCTTCCAAAATAAAGAAAAAACAACTTCATATCTACCATTAAATTAAAATAATTCTAGTAAGTTGTAACGATTCACAAACCATATATTTTTTAAGTTTCATTTAATTCAGAAAGCAGTAACTTTTTTGCGACGCTGTAGTAGGTTGTAATTCTGAGTCTTCCACTTTTATCTTAGAACGTTCATTTATTATAAACTCTCAGAAAGGCCTCTCAGAATCTTCAAAAGGGAAACATTTGAATTCCAAATGAGAAGGCCTACTCTAGGTATTTATTTGTGCAAGTCTTAAATAACTAAAAATTTAATTCAAGTGTGTTTATTACTTACAGAATTAAAATAACAAAATCCCATGGCTTGCTGTGGCTCAGCATGATGGCCCGGTGGTCTCACTATAGCAAAACCGTTCCTAATATCTCCTGTCCACGTACGAACAGCCAAGTCAACGGTGCAGCCTACAGCCATTCTTGCAGCGGGAGGTGTGTGTATATCATTCCAAGTGGTATCCGAATCCACCTGAAATTATAAAAAATCACATTCTGAAAATTTTACAGTTATCAAGTTGTTAAAATTGTCAAGGTAAATTTTACTAAAATTTGAGGTTAGTAAAATTTATTAACCCATCTGTAACGATAATTAAGTCTTCATGGTTGCGTTTTGGTTGGTCCAAACATAGAAGACGGATATTGGTTGATCGTTTATTTCAAGTTTCGCATTTCTGTATTTAACTTACAATTTTGTGACGTAATTCTGTTTAGATTTGGTTTTCAACTATCAACTAATCTAAATATAAAAAGAGAAATCCTACGATTTCTACCTGGCGAAATCGAATTCAAATATAAGCCGCCGTGCCCCCTAAAACTTGCGAAGCAAACAGCTTGATGAATGGATCGGCAAGGGAGTCTAAAAAATTGCACTCCAAATGCCGTTCATCATGGCCTATATTCGTAGTGAATTCGATTTCTGGTACTCCAAATGAAGTAAATAAACAAAACAAAATGACGGTATTATATTTTGATTTGATACAGAGCAGCAAACAAGCCGCATATACGTATTTCGATCTCTTTAGATCTCCTCTAGTACGGTATAGTTACTATACCGTACAAAAAATATTTTTGGTTTGATATGGAGTATATCGTATACCGTATTGAGGAGATCTAAAGAGATCGAAATACGTATATGCGGCTTGTTGCTGCTCTGTATCAAATCAAAATATAATACCGTCATTTTGTAATCTAAATATATTCGTATTATCCAGTGCAACCTTTCTACTACAAGTTATTAAGATTGCGACTCTTCAACCTGACGACATCTGGTGAAATTTTATTTCATCCTGTATATTTGAGCATTAGTGACAGAAATATCAAATGAAATAAAATGAATAAAAGAAATATGAACATAGAAATCTTTCCCCAATGATTGGAATATTGTAATACTTTGCACCATTCACAAAAAAGAAGATATCTGAATGATCTAACCACAGAGGAATTACGCTTCTGAATATAGCGTATAAAATATTTTCACAGTACTATGTCACCGTATGGCACCATATGCAGAACGGATAGAAAAATGCCTAGGCTAGTTTCAGAGGTGGAAAATCGACAATCCATCAGATTGTAACACTGAAACACATTTTTGAAAAACACTGGAATATGGCATTAATACTCATCCATTATTTATAGACTACAAAGTAATGAAAGAGCTAGGAATATCATATATAGGAATAGCAAATCAGTTGGTAAATTTAACAAAATTAACTCTTAAAAAAGTTGAATGTAGAGTACGAATTCAGGGGGAACTGTCTGAACCTATTAAAACAAATAACGAGCTGCGCCAGGGACACCCTCTTTCCTGTATACTGTTCAATCTGGCTCTGGAGAAAGTAATACATATGTCACAAATCACAACCATTAGTTCCATATAATAAATCAGTGCAAATCCTTGCCTATGTTGATGATATCAACATTATTGGTAGAACCGAAAACGCTGCATGAGAGGAATATGTAGAACAAAACGAAGTATATGAATATAAGCATGCAACCACAAATCCTATAACCACATGCTATAGCAAACGACGTCATCGAAGTAGTAAATTCGGGAGCGCTCCTTAACACTGAAAATAATACTACCGCAGAGATAACCGCAGAATTTGCACGGCAACAGATGATATTTTGGGCTCAATCTCTCCATAAATCTACAATTATATCGAGAAATACAAAAATAAAACTCTACAAAACAATAATACGCCCAGAACTAAAATATGGTTCAGAGATCTGGACTCTAGCAAAAAGTAATGAAAACATGTTAGGATGTTTACTTCTACTAAGGCGAATCTATGGAGCAGTGAATGACAATACAACTTCGAACTTTATAGAATATACCAGGAGCTAGATATCGTAAATCATATTAAGATAAGATGTCTGAGGTGGTCAGGGCATGTAATGCGGATGGAACAAAATGACACAGCTAGAAAAATGTTCCTTGATATAGACCACTGGTCTATATATATATATATATATTATATATATATATATATATATATTATATCTATAGTATATATTATATTATATATATATATATATATATATATATATATATTATATATATATTTATATATATATATATATATATTATATATAATAAAGGATCACTCAGACGAGTGGTGGGTTTCAAATATCGGTCAACTAGGTGGAGAAATAAAAGGACAAAGTTGATACTACTTCATCTATTTTGAAGACGTTTCGCTATCGATTTCTATTGAGTGATCCTTATTATATATAGTGGATAGACGGTCGTACTCCTTGTTGCGATATATATATATATATAGTATATATATATATATATTATATTATATTATATATATATATATATATAATATATATATATATATAATTATATATTATATACAGGGTGAGTCACGCTCAACGGGACGGAGCCTACCGGGGAAACGGCTAAAGATATTAAAAATTTCTTTTGCAGGAATACGTAGGTTAGTACCGGCTACAAATTAAAATTTGTGAGATATATACAGGGTGTCCCAATTTGGCGTAATGATATAAACTTATACTTTTTTAAATGGAACAACATATATTTCACTTTAATTTTGAATTCTACTGAACAAAATAATGTTACTTTATTCAACATTCCCTATACCTATTTTTGACCGGTTTCGATTTATTTGGGTTTTTCTGAAAATGTACTATTCGCGAAATTAATTAATTACACAATATCGCATGAATTTTAATTAACGCCTTTTTGTCAGTTAATTGTCAAGTGTCCATGCTTTACATCAGAATAATTACCATTTGAAACTAATCTACAGAGTGTTCGCAATCTGAAGTGTCAATGCTGTACCATATTTTGTATAATTACTTTCTTAACTTAAATGGGACACCCTGTATTTTACTTTAATTTTGAATTCTAATTAAAAAAATAATATTACTTTATTAAACAATCCCTATACCTATCTTTGAGAATTTTCGATTTATTTGCGTTTTTTTTGAAAATGCACTATGTATTCTTGAAATTAATTAATTTTTATCACTTTATTACATAAAGTTCTACTCTAACTTAAACAAAAACCCTGTATTTGAATGTTGTAACAATTATTATAATCAAACTATTATAAAATTTTATATTAATATCTAGTATCTTCAAATCTATTTGCATTATGTTACCTGGAACATTAAATGTCATTAATTACATAGCTCGTTATTATAAAGAATGCCATGAAAAAACAAAAGGTACCTAGCTGTCAAACTAATTGTCAAACTATTAACTGTATTGCTTTCAATTAAATAGAAATGGCAGATTATTCAATTGAAGACCGAGTAAATATGATTTTAATACTGGGTGAATGTGATCAAAACAGTTTGTTAGCATCAAGAGTCTATGCTGAGAGATTTCCCTTAAAACGTCATCCTCGTAAAGAAGTATTTGACAGAGTCTTAACAAGGTTTCGTGAAACTGGCAGTGTTGTTTATACTAAACGAAAATTAATAAATCCGATAACTGAAGATGAAAATACCGAATTAGAAGTTATTCAATCAGTTATTGAAAATCCAAATACAAGTACAAGGACGATGGCCAGGGAGATTGAAGTAAGCCAAACTAGTATATGCAGAATTCTTAAAAAATATCAATATCACCCATACCATATTCAAATGCATCAGCATTTGTATGGAACTGATTTTGAACGTAGGTTAGAATTTTGTTTATGGTTTCTAGACAAAACGGGAGCAGATCAACATTTTTTTGATAAAATTTTGTTCACTGATGAATCTACTTTCCATAATAATGGACTCGTGAACCGACATAACTTTCACTATTATAATACGGAAAATCAACATGAATATAGATGTACTGATCGACAAAACCGATGGTCCCTTAATGTATATGGTGGAATAATAGGAGAACATGTGATAGGACCGTATTTTTTTAATGGCCATTTAAATGGACAAAAGTTTTTAAGATTTCTACGAAGAGACTTTTGGATACTTTTGCAAAATATCCCTTTAAATATTAGAAGAACAATGTTTCTGCAGCTAGACGGTGCTCCAGCACATTACACGCGTAACGTTAGAGAATATTTAGACAGAAAATTTCCCGGAAAGTGGATAGGTAGGGGTGGTGCTGTCAATTGGCCCCCTAGATCACCTGGGTTAACATCAATGGACTTTTTTTTTGGGGATATATTAAAAGTTTGGTTTATCAAACTCCACCTACAACCGCTGAAGACATGAAAACGCGTATTCGTAATGCGTTTGCAACAGTTACTCCAGAAATGCTAAGAAGAGTAAAACAAAATTTTGAACACAGAGTGAGGTTATGTATTGAAGAAAATGGACACCATTTTGAACATTTAATGTAAATTAATTTTTTTCTAGTGTGTTTTGTTTAACTTTATGTAATAAAGTGTAATTAATTAATTTCAAGAATAGTGCATTTTCAAAAAAACCCAAATTAATCGAAAATTATAAAGGATAGGTATAGGGATTGTTTAATAAAGTAATATTATTTTTTTGATTAGAATTCAAAATTAAAGTAAAATACAGGGTGTCCCATTTAAGTTAAGAAAGTAATTACACAAACTATTATACAGCATTGACACTTCGTATTGCGAACACTCTGTAGATTAATTTCAATTGGTAATTATTCTGATGTAAAGCATGGACACTTGAAAATTAATTGACAAAAAGGCGTTAATTATAATTGATGCGATATTGTGTAATTAATTAATTTCGCGAATAGTACATTTTCAGAAAAACCCAAATAAATCGAAACCGGTCAAAAATAGGTATAGGGAATGTTGAATAAAGTAACATTATTTTGTTCAGTAGAATTCAAAATTAAAGTGAAATATAGGTTATTCCATTTAAAAAAGTATAAGTTTATATCATTACGCCAAATTGGGACACCCTGTATATATCTCACAAATTTTAATTTGTAGCCGGTACTGACTACGTATTCCTACAAAAGGAATTTTTAATATCTTTAGCCATTTCCCCGGTAGACTC